AAAGACTTTCAATATATTTATACACACTTGATCAACCACTTCCCGACGAGTGTTCCACCGTCGACGAACCATTTTCCGGTTGAATATAAAACTGACTTGACCGTCGGAGTGCTTGCGCCCGCTCCCACCCCCTCCGGGAGAGGCCAGGAGTGACTAACGGCGTGCTACGTGTGCAGGAAGAGCTGACTTGAAGACCTATCCTGTTGGCCACGTGTCCGAGCCATTTTTCGAGGTCAGCAATTATTATTATTATTATTATTATTATAAAAGATTAAATTTTGGGTGAACCATATAACCCATGTTTGGCCTCCATTTCTTAAAACTCTTTCTTTTTTTTTCAAACTCATTTTCAACAACACATTTAATGAGACTTAGTACTTTTATCAACTTATCAAACATATATTTCATCGTCTTTTTATCAAAATATACTAAAGAATCTATTTTTTATCGAAACCCAAGACTCATAATGAACTTGAAACAAGATTTTTTTTAAAATATATAAAAAAATAGATGAAATAAAGGGAAAAATAGGCTTGCACGTAAAAGAAAGGAGAAAGAAGATAAAACTGCAAATTGTAAATCATCTCATTCTAAAAGCTCAAATCTGTTAAAGAGGGGTCATGTGTTTTCATTAAGATGTTGCCTTCAACGCACCCCTTCATAAATTCATTTTCTGAACAAATGTCAGAAGTGCAAAATTGTTTTATAGATACATGGTGGTGAGACTTGAACCCATGTGTTTTGCCTTTTTTACCATGTTAATCATCTTATCTAATAGCTTAAGATATTATTCTTAGAGAGGGGTTGCCTAAATTCATTTGAATACCATCTTCGATACGGATGAATTAACAAAATTTCCATTTTTTTTATCTATGAACACACAGTACTCCAAACTGAAATGTACTCTTGCAATGTTTCAGTCGGTGGAGAAATAATTCAGAAGACACCATGATTCAAGCAATTACATCACTCCTAAAACGAATAAATACAATGGATAAACAACTAAGTTCTTTTCCTACTAACATTGAAGTGGTACCCACTTAAACCATAACCCTCTTTAATCCATAGCAAACTCTGATTAAATTTTTTAACACGACCAACAAATTTACCAAAAAATAACAATTTACAAAAAAAGAACATCGGAAATATGGAAACTAAAATTAAATAGATCCTATTGATGAGCAAAAATGATACCTTAGCGTGATCAGGTAGAATATGTCGCCGGCTTTGGTACGGGCTTCGGAATCCGTAGTAATTTCCCTGATGGTTTGCTTTTCTTCCTCCGGGGTCAGCTGCACGGCGACAGCCTCTCCCATTTTACCTTTCCAACACTCCCTCTGTGAAAAACAAAAATTGCACCTTTTGGTCAAAAATTGAAGGTTTTGAATTTCTAGGTCCAGAATTATGGTTTTATTCCAGTGTTTGTTCACAATGTGATGAAAGAGAACAACGGTGGAAGGTTTGGGGGTTATAAATCTGCCGCCCATTTTGAAGCCTGCGCTCAGCTGATTTTTCCTTTTTAGAGCCTGTTTAAACTATAAACCCATCTTCTTTTTCTCAAAAGTATTAGATTTAAGACTATATATATATGACATATTAAAATTTTCATTCTGCTCATTTTCAATCACATATTTTTCAATAAAATAAAATTTTTCATCACATCAATAACTGTTCATTCTTTTTCAACCACACATTCTCCATCAATCTTCCATTTCAAAATGCATTCTTTCAAAATAATGTGGCTCAAACACATCCTAAGTGTAATATTATTTTATTGAAAAATGTGTTGTTGAAAAAAAAAAAGAAAAAAATATAGCGTGCTATCCAAATTTTTGAAATACTAACTTAAAATGATTTAACGTGACGTAACATTCATTATTATTGGCTGTTTCGCGTGTCGTTAATGACATAAGAAATTTGGTCACGAGCCTTTCAATATGGTATTAAAAATGCAATATTTCGACTTCATTTAACAACACATAACGGCCCCCAAAATTGAGATAAAAATATAAGAAATTTAATGAATTTATAAACATCTGGGTTATTCATTTTCATTCCCTCCCTTTTTTTTCTTTCGTCGATGCCACATGTCCTCTTTGTCAAATCACCGTGACCCAAATTGTCATCCGCTCTTGTACATCTAGTTTCTAAAATTTATTTTTAGTTGCTAGAATAATTTGGTAGATTATTTAAATGATTGTTTTGAATGTTTGATATACTAACCTTTCAACATATTACTTTTGTGAAAATTGAATGTAAACAAATACAAGATTGTTAGCTATCCAAATATTTACAGTTGTTTATGAGTCTGAATTTCTTACTAGTGGTCGAATTCTTGATTCATTTAAGAGTTCGTTAAGTGAAAATATGGTCAAGGTGGTGATTTGTCCTAAAAATTGATTGCATAGTAACAAGGAACATATAATAATTCATCAATATTTGGATGATATAGAAGCATTATACGATTCACAAAAAATTATAGAAGATATTATCCTATTTAATATTTTTATTCATTTTTTTATTAGTTGTTTTATATCATTTAACTATA